GGATTAAAGAACAATTCACAAACTTACTCAAAGAACATTCCTTTTAGCCCTAGCAACTCATTACAAAGGAAAACATAAACTAAATGGATAAAGAAATCTGTCGTAGGGATGCCCTTGCCAAATAAGTTGATGGGTGATTTATAGTAGTCAATGAGGCGAGTGGGAAGTTAATACAATTGTGGTGGGTGATGAAGGGTTTAATTGAGGGATTAATTGAATTAAACATGTGTTGATGGTGAAGAGTAAGTGGAAAAGAAATAACGGTGAGGTAAGTAGGCGTTAAATGGCTATGAATGACATAAAATAGGCTCTTTAGCTTCAACGGTTTTGTCTTCTCTTCTCCCTCTTTACTTCTCTTTATAATCACAATAATCCCACAATTAATTCTTCAATTAAATCCGCCAGCAATTTTCTTCACACCTAGCTTGAACTTGAACAAATGTATGGCTTCATCTTTTGGCTTTCCAACTTCCTACATAAGATAAATTCACCTAATAAATTCACCAAATTAATATAGAAAATTCATAAATCCAATTGGTGAGAATAAAATGTAACAAGAAGTGAAATTATATTCATTAAGCCAAAATTATATCATAAAGTCTCCAAAATAATAGTAAAAAGATGTAATTTGAGACTCATCAAAACCTCAACAAATTTACAAAGATGCTTTGATCTCTCAGAATTGTTAGAATAGCTCTTGGATGATTCATAATCAAGCAGAATAGGTACTGTAGTACAACTCCAGGTTAGCAATCATCAATCCAGCCACTTCCAGTCCCGTCCAGACTGAAGAGATCTTAATTCTGCCCATCTAAGAAGCCTCTCCATGGCTAAAATAGATTAAATCTTTGCCAATCTCAACATTGCTATTGATTTCCAACTGAACCTCATCAGTTGAAGGTGCTGGCGTTTGAATCCAGCACAGATACATCCAGTCTAGCCTGAATCACAGGCAACAATCCAAGCAGAAATCGAAGCCTAATGTTCTGTTGTCCTTTTTAGACGTGGCAGTTCCTTTTTTGTTTTAAATTATGTAATTGGCAATTCTCTTTAAAACAATTTGATTTATTTTCAATATTTATTTTGGCCAGAACTACTAGTTTTTACTGTGAGAAATTGTGAAGTCCTCACAAGTCTGAGGCAAGAAAAGAACTTACTTAGGGAGATATTCCTCACCCAAATTCACAATCACTTGTTTAAAGTCAGTAACTTGGGACGCAAGTTATCTATTTTTCATAAGTTTGTCAAGGTTTTGATTGCTAACAGTAGCATGCTCACACACAAAAGAAAGTTGACTTGTTGACTACAAATGGTTTTCAAGCCAATGGGGAAATTTACCCTATCATCATAGGAACTAAATCAAAACGGGTGAACAATTTGTTCTAAATCAATATCTTTCATTTGTAGGAAAAATATGAGCATACATTCATTGGTTATCAATTTTAAGTTCGCAAGTGTTATAATTAAGTTTTAAGATCTTGCTTTGTCATAGTTTGTACTAGCAAATGTGCCCGCGCGATGCTGCGGGTTTTAAAACCATGTGAATTGTATACAAAATCGTGAAAAAAAATATGAAAGATGGTACTATTTATAGACATGGAGATCTAAATAGTGGCATCACGCTTTATTTGGCAAGTTTATGTTACAAAAAATAGACTAATGACATGTTTTATATGCTGCTTGTCATGTTAAAATATTGACCATATTTTAATAAATCAAGCAGCAATCAAAACATCAAAATAGCATCAAAATATCAGCAGTTTTAGAATGTTGATTGTTCAAAAGAGTTTGGACCGGTCTTTATATATATATGCTACTGGGTGATGGAAGGGGATTTTCCAAACCTCTTTGCTAGTCCAAATGCAGAACCCTACTTTGTTTTTTCTTGTAGCACCTCTTCAAAAGATGAATAGAAAACTGACCTGTTGCCTAGCAACAATGAGAAGAGCTATCAAGCAGTCCAAAAAGCAGTTACACAGCACCTATAGAAAAATGCAAAAACCAAAAAATGAAATAAAGCAATAATCAAAAGAGCAAAAAATAAAAACACATAGATTCTGTTTGTGGTAATGATCTAAAAGCACATGATTTACAATAAACAATGATTTTCAAAAGGAAATGAAGAAAAAAAGGAGCTACTATATAGATAACAACAGGAACACATTTACAATCCAATATTCTGAAGTAAAATAAAGAGAAATAATGCAAAGCAAACACATGACTGAATTCTGACATATTGGGGCATATATATAAGCTGCGAGCTAGCACGTGCTACTCCATCCTTTATAAGACTTCTTGTCCGGCAGTAAGACACTGTCCCAAACAGACAAAACATATAAACAACCCAAAAAGGCCAAAAGAAAGAAAAAGAAAAGAAGGGTCATCAACAGTTACTCATTTATCAACAGAGATTGCAAAAAATAAAACTTGTTCTCTATTTTTCCTAAGCAATCAGTTGAAAATAAAATATCATAAGCAAGATTGGTCTCTAGGCATTTCAATTATCATCACATCTTATACTTCGGATTCAAGCATGGTATAAACAGTAACTGAGAACAAAAATAAAATTTTTATTGATACTTAACTGATGAGATATTCCTAGCATACATTAAACCTAACTATTTTGATACACCAATAGACTTGAAAATCAAATATGAAAAGCAAAACCGAAACAATACATGGGAATTTCAACATAGAAACGTACCTCTTAATTAACAGAACTAAAAACAACCACCAAACAGCTCTATCTAAAGCAGCAGAACACCACCTACAAAACATCAAAAGCAGACATTAAAGGTTCTTGTCCTCTAGTATGCGCTGAAATTAAAATCCCACAAATACACATTTAAAAGTGTGCATTAAACTATGTTAAAGGTTGGAGAAAGAGAATCAAATCCACTTCTACATTTAATTTTTAATTTTTCAATCTATACTCTATACACACAGAACTTAATAATTAGAAATTAGAGTACAGAATCAGAAGTTGGGGCTGCCCATGGGTCCAGCTGTACTCTTTTGGGTTAGAGAGAGAGAAAAGATTGTAAATAAGTCTTTTACAGAGAGAGAGAGAGAGAGAGAGAGAGAGAGAGAGAGAGAGAGAGATGTAGCCTCAGGTTTTGTTGATCAACCTCATGTATTAAAAATCAATTCCTTGCTTGGAGAACAAAAGTTTTATATTTAAAACAAAATATGACAAAAAGACTCCAAACAATCCAAATCTAAAGTAAAATCATCAACCAGTTCAATCAAAGGCTGAGATAGCTAGAATACCTCAGTTGCAATGAATCAAAACGGAAAACATAGAAAATAAACTCTGCAAGCAACAAAATCCCAGAATGCCCTTTTGAATTTGGATTTCTGGACAGAGAGAGAGAGAGAGTGGGAAAACAACAAAATCCCATACACTTTTCCTCTCCTTTTAAGACTCAAATTGAACTGTGTTGCTTTATCTGTTTTTGCTGCATCAGAGATTCTCTCCACCTCTTTCAAGTCAAAGTGAGAGAATAAATTATTATTATTATTATTATTTTTAAAGCTGGTATGAAATGAGAGATGGAAGGAAAGGAGGAACTACAGCTCATGGCATATATTCCCCCAACATAACCCCACTTATGTTTCCAGATATGGAGTGAGAACACAGGATAGGCCAACTACTCCAAACGTTATAAAGAGAGCTCTATAGCTACCACAGATTGGATCAAAGCTTTTAAGGCTCCTAACCAACATTTATGTTGCCTTCTTCTCTCTCTCATCCACAATACAAAAATGGGTCTGCTGCAGAATATGCAAAATCAGAATATGAATTTGGTTTTGTCCACTGATGCAAAGCCCGGGCTAAAATGGACTGCAGAACTTCATCAAAGATTTGTTGAAGCAGTCAATCAGCTTGGTGGGGCAGACAGTTGAGTATATAAGCGTGATTCATATTCTTCTTCAAATCCCTTTTTAGTTTCTTTCTATTTCTATACAAAATTCTAATGTCTTTGTTTCACATATGGGCAGAGGCCACACCAAAGAGTTTGATGAGGGTGATGGGAATTCATGGACTCACTTTGTACCACCTAAAGAACCACTTACAGGCATTTTTCTCCCTTTTCTTGGTTAATCACATCCAGTCTTTTTTCAGACTATTATGGAAAAGCATAACTGTAAAACTGTTTTGTTTTCTTGTGCAGAAATACAGGCTAGGGAAAAGCCACCAGTCAGAAAACTGCACTGACATTAAGCAAGAAGGTGACTCCAATGCTTCAGTAGATTATAAAAACTATAAAGGATCATCATCTTTACTCTCTTTTTTCTTCTTAATCTTCTTGAAATCTTAATATTTGAAATGTTTGTCTGATAATGCCCTACATTAAATGCAGGTCTTAAATTATATCTTACATGCCGTTCATAGTTATACAGAATATCTTTATCTTGGTTCATCAAATCTCTCTCTCCCCCAAATTTGTCTAATTTATCTCTCTACTGAGGGCAATTCTTTTGAGCATAAATCAAACAAAACCCAAAACAATTATTATAAAAAAAAAAAATCACTATCAATCAACAAAAACGATTAAAAAGGAAGATCAAAAGAGAACCAAATAATAAATACAACCAACAATGGAAATATTCATCAATTTTAATCTTTTTTTTTAATTTTTTATTAATTTATTAACCTGCCTAAGCAATCAAAAGTCACCCTAAACCAAAATATTTGACGAAATTCTAGTAAAAGAAAAAAAAAACTGAAATTAAAGAGAGGGAGAGAGAACATTGTATACCGTAACTTCTGTACACATACACTAGCTCTGTCCCACAACATCAGCGAGGGCAATGGCAAGCCTTTATTCATGCACAAACAGTCCCCAGCCATTACCAATTCAAAAGCATGATCAATTCCACCACAGGGGAGAAATACAATCAAAATTAATAAAAGGGAAAGAAATTGAAATACAGTGGAGGCGATTAAAAGATGCAAACCTTGTTTCTATTTCAAAGTCCACGAATAGATGTAGTTGCACCATTTTGTTATAGTTCCTGCTGTAACACCCCGACTCCAATTATTTCCTATTTTAATTAAATTAAGAGAAATTATTAATTTACTCTTGGGTTAATGGTAATTTTGGTCATTTTCTTATCCAGGAAGATTTTGGGACCACGAGTGATTTGGTTGCGTAGGTGGTACTGAGACGAAACCATAGACAGGCGGTAGGCTTGAATCGGAATTGTAACGAAGTTTTGGCGATCAAAATAAGTTCGATGGCAGAACCGTAATTATTTCGAAGAGTTTGGTAAAAATCAGATTTTTTCATTTTTACCTCTCTCTCTCTCTCTCTCTCTCTCTCTCTCTCTCTCTCTCTCCC